ATATGTCTAAGCTATTGGCCAAACAGTATTGCAAATGATACAGTTTCTGTGTGACTATTTCGGGAGTCTGGGTGGCCAGGAAATGAACAAGCACCCTCCCCCACAAGTGTTCAATGTTGTATTGAAACTGAACCCTGTTGTTTTCAGATTATAAAGTACAAAGGTGATTTTCAAGACTAAGCCTAAACCTCACTATCTTTAAATCTATCCCATTAACTATTTAGAAACATACTAAAAATAAACTACTCAGCCACAAAATACCTGAGGACCAATGTGCTATGCTCTCCTTCCTCCTCTGCCTCGCTGACATCTCGACAGGCGTATGCTCAGCTAAGATGGCCGCTGGACTAGGCAATGGCTCAGGGGGGACAGTGTTTATAAGCAAGCCTGAGGACCTGAGTTCCGTTCCCAGAACCCTAGTAAACGCTGGCGTGGCAGTGTGCATGTGGCCCAGTGCCGCTACTGTAAGATGGGAGCAAAGACGGAAATCTGGGGGCGCTCAAGGGCCAGCTTATACAGCTAGAGCAACAAAGGGACCCAAGACGAAGTCACATCTCTGACCTCTGATATGCACCACGGCTTCCTATGCCCACACTCATGTGTACAAACATGGATACACACACATGCACATCATACTCTCACCACAACAAGCCTATGCCCACACTCATGTGTACAAACATGGATACACATGCATGCACATCATACTCTCACCACAACATGCCTATGCCCACACTCATGTGTACAAACATGGATACACACACATGCACATCATACTCTCACCACGGCATGCCTATGCCCACACTCACATGTACAAACATAGATACACACGCATGCACATCATACTATGCCTATGCCCACACCCACGTGTACAAGCATGGATACACACACATGCATATCATACTCTCACCACAAGCCTATGCCCACACTCACGTGTACAAACATGGATACACACACATGCACATCATACTCTTACCCAAAACTTTTTAAAAGACAAGATCCTAAGCCTCTTTTCTGTCTCTTGTGAACTCAAAATTTCTCCTGCCCTTTATGCTTTAATGACCTAATCTTAGAGTCGCATACAAATCTACATCTGAATATCTGCTGTCTTAAAAGATAAAAATTCTCAAGGGCAACTTCCTTGCATCTTACAAGCTTTCTCTTCAACTTGAGCTGCCTTTTTTTTTTTTAACTGAGGTCATAGCCTGTATTGCAGATACAAATACCAAACAATAAAAACACACAGAAAAACAAACAAACCCTCAAACAAAACAGTCAGTCATTCTTTATGGCTCACCTGTTCTCATCCCCATAATCAACATCTCTTTCATTCTATCACAACTTTCTTGTAAGTCTGGGGCCACAGCTTAGGCGGGAGAGGGCTTGCCTAGCATGTCCAAAGCTCTGGGCTCAGTCCCCAGCACCATGAAAGCCAGATGTTGTGGCACACATCTGTAATCCCAGGTTGAAGTAGGAGAATAATGAGTTCAAGGTCACCCTCAACTACGTAGCCAATTTGAGGCCATCCTGTCTCAAAAAAATAAAAATAAAAAATAAAAAACAAAACTTCCTTGTAAGTCCAAGTCCAGCACAGGAGTCCAGAGCTCCAAAAATCTCAATTGTGGATGTCACATAAAAGCTGAGGGATCTTTCAGTGACTGCTTCTTATCTACATGGTGATTGTTTTTTCTTTTATCATATTGCCCAGGTGGTCTGGAACTTGTGTGCTCAAGTAGTTCTCCCCTCAGTCTTGTAGTAGCTCAGGGGTGTAGGTGTTACAAGACAAGTTTAACAGCCGTGCCTATCTTGTGAGATGCTGGAGCGGCTCCATAAGGAGCATATGGAAAACATCTGGCATAAACTTAAAGATTAGTGACTCAGGACTGATGGCAACTAAGAGTTCTGTCAGAAGTTTTCCTTTGATAATGTGATTGGGAAAATCAAGAAAACTTAAAAATACAGAGTGAGGGACCAGAGAGATGGCTCAGTCCAAAAAATATCTGCTGCACAAATGAGAACCTGTGTTCAGATCCCCAGAACCCCCACAAAAAGCTAGGGACACGGGCATGCACTGGTAATCTAAGCACTGGGGAAGTGATGCACATGGGCATGGGTTGGTAATCCAAGCATTAGGGAAAGCTAGATAAACCCTGGTCATCCAAACAATGGGGAAGTAAAGAGGCAGATCTCTGGAGTTTTTTGGCCACCCAGCCTAGACGAGGCTATGAGCTCCAGGTTCAGTGAGAAACATTGTTTCAAAAGATGGGAAGTGATGGAGACAGCACTCAATGTCAACTTCTAACCTTGACAGGCACTCACACAAACAAAAACCACAGTGAGTTTTAAGAACACTAAGACAGCATGGGCTAAAGAGTGTCTCAAAAACAAAACCTCACAAAATTGTGTAGGTGACTCTAAAAGTATGTTATAGTTGATTACAGTCTCAACAGGGAGCCTCACATGCAGGGGTGTCCTAAGTGCACAGACAAGAAGGACACAGAAGGAAGGTCACAGCTTTTGCCCCTTGGCCTTTTTCTCCTCTAATGTGTACGTGGTTAGCTGCTGCTGCTGCTGTTGCTGCTGCGGCTTCCTTCCCTACCATCAGAACCCAATTCCCTAAGCTTTCACCGTGACCTAGGACCAGCAGCCCTTTCTGGCTTCTGGGGCCAGACGGGACTGCTGAGGCACTTAGCAGGGGACAGCCACTGTGGGACTATGCTGACTGTTGAGGCACCCAGTCTCAGAGACCAGGGAATCTAAAATGCCTTGGTCATGGTGTCTCATCACAGCCGTAGAGAAGTAACTAAGAAGCTAAAGATAACTAAGAGGATAAATGAGTAACAACAATGTATCGTTCCCTTCCCAGCTAGAGACTGAAGAGTAGACACAAAGTGTGCTCACCTTGTTCTTTTCGTCTTGAACAATTTGCAGCAGCTGGTCTACATGCCCATCCTCGATGCATCTTTGGCCTGCTAACTGGAAGAGGCCAAAATCCTCTTCTTTAAAATCATGCTCCTCTAGGATTTGCTGTTAAAAAAGAAAAGAAGTACAGATGCAAATAAAGATTCAGTATGAATGAGTTCCTGATTTTGTCTCTCTGGGAAGAAAAGGAAATCTTAAATTATAGAGAAAGTGCGCATGAATACATAAATGTTTTAACAATTGACTTTATTTTGGCTTTTGAAACAGGTTCTCATGATGAAGTTTAAGCTGACCTGGAAACTTCAGATCCTCTTGCCCCAGCCTCCGAATACTGGTTATAAGCATGAATCAGTATGGCTCAATGAATGATCTTGAACCTACTGTATCAAAGAAACCTATGAAAACAATCATAGGTCTAAAATTAATGGATATTGGGGCTAGAGAAATAGCTTGGTGGATAAGAGCATATACTGCACTTACAGAGCACCTGAGTTCAGTTCCCAACACCCAGGTCAGGTGGCTCACAACCACCTGTAACTACAGCTCCAGGTGGATCTGATACCTCGGGCTTCCATAAGAGAGTTGAGGATTTCTTTTTAATATATATATATATATATATATATATGCTGAGTTTAGGATTTCCTTTTATTTTATATATATGAGTGTTTGCCTACAGTAGGTGTGTGCCTGGTGCCCATGGAAGCCAGAAGAGGGTCTGAGTGTTGGGTAATAAACCTAGGTCCTCTGTGAAAACAACTGAGCAATCTATCTAGCCCTCCTCTTTTATGAGACAGGGTCTCTCTACATAGCCCTGGCAGTCTTGGAAATCACTACGTAGATCAGATCACCCTCAAATTCACAGAGACACCCTTGCCTTTGTTTCTTAATTACTGGGATTAAAGGCCACATGTACAAAAATAAAAAATAATTTAAAAAAATCCAGTCTACCTTCCTGATCCTATGCTGTTTATTTACACGTCCAAAAAAGCAGGAATTAGATAAGGTAAATAATATGAGTGACCACAATGTAATTAAAGATAATATATGCACTTCCCATATTTTTAAAGGTGTTTTCAGGTAATTACTTACACATCTTTTTATTATGCTCTGAAGTTCCTCCACAGCCATTCCTAATTACTTTTCCTAGTTTTGATGCTGAAATGAACTAATAAAAAACACAGTTAATTGTGTGATATCATTAAGTTTCATAAACTGTTTCATTCTGAATTATTAGAAAATACAGTGAACACAATGTCAAGTTTTACAGCTTAAATGCTATTACTGAGCGTTAGTGTGCTAGCCTAATAAAGCATTTTTAAAGCCCCTACTGTATTGTCTAAAAAGCATAACTCTGAAAGAATGAAAAGAGAATAAAGAAAGAGAACCCTAGAGAGAACTTCCTAGAAGAACCTTTTTTTCAAAAGGGGAAAGTATTCCTTTCATGAAAAAAAAATCCAAACCGTAGACCTGGGACAAAAATTCTAATCATTAGGGAATTTTTTAAATGTCCCATTGACAAAAACTGAAATCCAACACAATTAAGTCACCCAAAGAAGTTGAAGACTGCGATGCCCTCCACCCCTTCTCTAGAGGACCTGCCCTCCCCAGAATAATCAACCAATCCAGTCAGTGAGATCCCCGAAGCCAAGGGCATCGGTGGTGACCAGGACTCTGCCGCAGGGGGCTGGAATCTCTGCCCCGCGGGAGAGGACAGGAAAATCACACCCTACCGCGCCTGTGGGCTGAGCCTAGGGGAAGCCATTTGTCCCTGTCTCCCTGTTCCTGCTGGGCAGAGCGTCCAGGCTCCAACACCTCAAGGGGCCTAGCAGGCAAGCAGCGTGCTGCGCGGATCCTGGTCAGAAAGCCCGGACCAGCCCAACCCAGCACGTCCACCTACCCGCCAGACCGCGCGCTCTCTCCACCTCCTTCCTCCACCACCTCGGCCAGCGCAGGCCGCACTCCTGGCCCCGCCCTGGACTGGGCCCGCCCCCTCCGGCGCTCGCCCCGCCCTCCCCTGGCCCGTCCCCTCTGGCTCTCGCTCCGCTCTCCATGGGCCCGCCCCCAGCGTCCGGGCAACGCGCGGAGGCGGAGCCTCGCTCTCGCCGCGCAAACCCTCCCCTTGCCTTCTGACCCCGTTTCCCATGGCTGCCTCTGCTGCTCCTCACTGTTTGGGCCCGAGTGCCCGGGCCTCCAGCACCCACCGGAAGGCTGCAGGTAGGAACGCGAGCCTCTTCAGGTGTGGACCCTGAGGCCCTGGTTTGAGTACTACGCACGCGCGGAGTGCTGGCCGAGGCCATCCCCTGGAGGGAGGGCTCCGGGTGGCGGGTGGCTCCCACCGCTTCCCTGGTGCGGTCGGGGAAAGAATCCCGCAAGAATCCCACACTCTTACGCAAGTATTTCAGGATCTCTCCCTGCGTGGACTGGGCTGGGGACCCCTAGGGAACAAGTGGCCCAGACAGCTTTGAACCTTAGACGTCCTCTTGGACTGCTTTGGTACCGGGTCTCTGAGATTTCAGACTCCTCTTCTTAGGCAAACTGTCCATTTGGGAGACCTAGAAATTTATCGTAAAGGTATCCAGTTTAGGTTTTTTTGTTTTTGCTTTTGTTTTTTGTTTTGAAGCACTTGATTAAATAAGATACGTTACATGAAAACAACCAGTCCCCAAAGGGATAGATTTTAGTCAAGAAAAATTGAAATGTAGTTAATTTACAGAAACTGTGAAATTTCCTTCCTGTTTACCCCTTTTTGCAAGTTGGAGTTGGAAATGAGATGTGTGAGAGAAAAGGAAACGCGGTCTACAGGGTGTCACTTGGGTAAGACTGCTGCACCAAATGTGTGTTCACCCTCACTGGTCTTTTCCATTGCAGGTACCAAACAGACAAGGCCCCTCAAGCCAGAAGATGCTTCCAGAAGGTAGACCACGTGGACAACTGCGTTCACTCTCTCTCTCTCTCTCTCTCTCTTTTTTTTTTTTTTTGAGACAGGGTTTCTCTGTAGTTTTTGGTGCCTGTCCTGGAACTAGCTCTTGCAGACCAGGCTGGCCTCTAACTCACAGAGATCCGCATGCCTCTGCCTTCCGAGTGCTGGGATTAAAGGCGTGTGCCACCACTGCCCGGCATTTCACTCTTTTTATATCACTAATCGAATAGATGTTTTTGGTCCTGATGTTTTATTTTCTGGGCTTGGGATTTGAGCTTTGCTCAGGCTTCATACGTGTTAAAAAAAAGCACTCAGTACTGTGCTGCGTTCAACCCAAACAGTTAAAACGATCATAGATACCTGATTTGGAGAACATACTTACGAGAAGACATAGGAAGCACTATTAATTCTCACAGCTGTTACATCCTCCACCTTTAAGAAAGCAAACTGGAGGCTCAGGCTGTAACACCATTCCTGAATTAACCAAGTAGTCCTTTTCCTTCTTTTCAGGTACAAACCATCTTTACTGTTGGGGGCTTCTAAAACATCAGGGTCTCTCATATCCCAGAAGATCTCAGGAGTTATCTGTGGAGACATTAAACGTGTCTGTGACTTTTCATTTCAAGATTCACTAGTTCTTCCAAATATTTTCCAAATACGAGATGGCTGTATTTGGGTTATGAGAAATATCCGTATATCATCACAAATTGCCTTTGGTACTGTAAGAAAAAGGCTGACGATGGAGGAGGGGCCACTGACTTAGATCGTAGACCTGTGGGTTTTCTAAAAGTCTTCAGACTGTGTAAAGCAGACAGTAGAGATGAGATACTAGCAGCGAGGGGTGACAATATGGATGGGGACCCTGAGGTGGGATGGTATATGACTTTCCAAGAGGGGAGGAAGGAGGCAGAATTCTGTTCATGCAGTACCCAGCATGTCACAGTTAGAAACTTAGTTTGTAAAGTGCAGAACAGCAAACTTTAATTTTAAGACTGTAAAGGAATCCAAGACCAGAATGTCTGAGACCTGCTCCATACCCCCCTGTCTTAGTTAGGGTTACCATTGCCGTGATGAAACTCCATGCCCTAAAGCAACTTAGGAGGAAAGGGTTTATTTGGCTTATACTTCCACAGCACTGCTCATCATTAAAGGAAGTCAGGGCATGAACTCAGACAGGGCAGGAACCCTGAGGCAGGGGCTATGTAGAGGCCATGGAGGGTGCTGCTTACTTACTGATGGGTTCCCCATGGCTTGCTCAGCCTGCTTTCTTAAAGAATGTAGGATCATAAACCCAGGGGTGGAGCCACCCACAGTGGGCTGTACTCTTCCCCATCAATCACTAATTTAGAAAATGCCCTACAGGCCAGCATGCAGCCCAGTCTTACAGAGGCACTTTCTTAATTGAGGCTCCTTCTCTCACGTGACTGTAGCTTATGTCAGGGTGACACAAAACTTCCAACACAACCATACTGATGGTCATCATTCAGGACAGAAGGAACAACATTGACCCATGGGAGGCAGCTGTAGGTATCTGTCAGTTAGGAAGACAATGGCTCAGGTCAGTGTGGTTGATAATTTGAGCCAGCAAGCTGATAAGACTTTTATTGATGGGTAAGTGCAAAATGAGAAAAATAGTTTTTCATGAAGCTTTTCATATTTACTATAAAGAACTGTAATCTGTGTTTATATCTTTTGTATCTGATACAAGAGTGGTCTTGTATGGAGCTGGAGTTAGTGAGTGCTTGCTTAGCACAGACGAGGCCCTGATCACCATCGTTAGGATCTCAAAACAGCAATAAGATGATCTTGATGAAGTGGTAGGAAAAAAAATAGGTGTTTAGTTTCAGAATGCCCCCTTTAATGTATGCATCTTAAAATAAGAATTGTTGGCAAAACTGTCCCGGACTTCCAACTTAGGGTGGGGACACATTGCTCTAGGCAAAGTATAGGAGTCTAAAGTCTCAAAAGTTAATGAAAGTAGGAAGGACACATGAGAAGATCCCCAGGTCCAGGTGTGAGAGGGAGGGAGAAGCACTGGGGACTACAGAGGTGTCTCTCCAGGACGCTCATGACAGCAGTGACTGTCCGTTCTCGTTTAGGGAGCCTCTGGTGGGACCTGGGCTGTCTTAAAACAGCTCTCACAGTTGTACTGTCCCGGGATCGTTTATCGAGATGGCCTTACCGTTAGTTCCATGTATGCAGAGCCACAAAGGACAGACAGGATCCCACTGCTCACTGGAATAAGGCTTCCTCATATCCATATAGTTACTAAGTGAGACTTTGTAATAAAGAAAGAAACACATACTGACTTTTAAGATACAGGTTCTTTCTACGCAGTCCACACTAGCCTTGAACCCCGAGTCTTCCTGCCTCCACCTCCCAGGTGCCATGATCGTGGACATGGGCCACCACATCTGTCCTCCTTTTCTGTGGGTGTCTTTCAGTGCCTTCTTGTGCTCTGAGCCTGGGATTAATCCTCATGGTCAGCTTCCATCTGCACGCTGTAATGGGTAGTTTGCTTACTTTTTGGAAGGTATTGGATCAGAAGTGGCAGGGTTAAAAACTACAGATTTTATTGGCAAAATAATAGATTAGTGGTGACTTTTGAAGCGTGGAGTGCTGCAGATAGAGGTCTTCTAAGGGACTCACTTTCTCACTGGCATTTCAGGCGAGCAGAACTAGAAGCCGCAGTGCAGAGGAAAGTGGAGTGTGAGAGGAAGGCCGTGCGCATTGTCGAGCAGCTTCTGGAGGAAAACATCACAGAGGAATTCCTAAAGGAGTGTGTATGTATGAAGTTGACAAATTACCAGATTTTAAATATGACATCTATCTTTAAGGACTTATCTATGTGTGTGAATGTCTTGTACATATGTTAGTGTATGTGTGTGCACTATGAGTGTGCCGTGCCCAGAGTCCAGAAGTGGTTGTCAGATCCCTTGGAACTGCTGTTATAGGTGATTGTAATCTACCCAGTGCAGAACCAAACTCAAAACCTCGGCAAGGGCAACAAATACTCTAAACCACTGAACTGTCTCTCCAGCACCATCATTTTTAAAAAAAATGTGTACGTATGTATGTGTGAATGCATTTCACGTATGTTTAGTTACCTGTGGAGTCCAAAAGAGGGCATCAGTTCCTCTGGAGCTGGTGTTGCCAGCGTTTATGAACAACCTGACACGGATGGTTGGGAACCAAACTTAGGTCGTCCGGCAGAGCTGTAAGCGTTTCTAACCACTGAGCCATCTCCAGTCCCCAAGTCTAGCGTGTCTCAGTCTATGAGACTTCCCTGCACTATTGGAACCTTTAAATTTTCTTTCAGTTCTTAGATCCAGAATGGATGATCTGTGTTTTAAAATTATCAACTCTGATAATAGTTCTTGCTTTATAATGACTTTAAAATGAATTAATAAAAAGTACTGAGATGGTTGTAGTTACAACGTATGATTAAATACATACAACATTTGTAGTTATAACGTATGATTAAATTTACTTTATTACTAGTGGGGTGGGCGCACATGCCTTGACCTGTACATGCCACAGCATCTGTGTGCATTCAGTTCTGTCCTGCCATGTGGGTCCCAGAGGAGAAACTCGGGCTGTCATGCTGGACAGCAGGAATGTTTTCCCTCTGGGTCATCTCGTCCGCCCAGACATATTATAACAGCCTTCCTCTTGAGTGTCATTGTGTGTCCGACACTCACGGAAGCATTTTTCCTTCGTGGGCCCCTCTAATTCTGACTTCACAGGTGTTCCATAATCTGTTGGGGAACACCCCTTATTTCTGCTCCAGGGGATGTTTATCACACCGGCTCACTACAGCGATGTCGTGGACGAGCGGGCCATTATCAAACTCTGTGGCTATCCTTTGTGTCGGAAGAAGTTGGGAGCCGTGAGTAGTCTTCCCCTAAGTGTGTGTGTTAGTATGATTAGTCTGTACAAGACATGTTGTAGAACCAACGGGAAGGAAAGCCTGAGGTCATGAACTAATAACTTGGATTGGCCAAAAGTATTAACCATAGATGACTTAATTCTCTGTGACATAAAGTTTGTGTTCCTCACTTAAATTCTTTAGTAAATTATACTTTATTTTTCTTTAGATACCGAAACAGAAATATAAAATTTCTACTAAAACCAATAAAGTCTACGATATTACTGAAAGAAAGGTAAGATCAAAAGGTGTTTAATGTGGCAGTTAATTTTTAAATGACATTAAATAGAATTCTAAATTTTGCTTTAAAATTTGTCTGTTAGACAATAACTACAGTAATAGATTGTTTCTATCTGAAACTAAGGTACTAAGAACATTTCTTGCTTGAGCTTTAACTAAGCACGGGAGCTGGGGAGTCTAGTCATTCTGAGCTGTGCAGCAGGTTCAAGGCTTCTCTGGGCTACCTCCCTCCCCTAAAAAAGATCTGAACATTTGAAAACAGAAAGTGCATGTTGGTATAAACACGGGCAAGTAAACCAGGGTAAGAAGGATGAGCCGGGGCAGATTCATCACATCTGTGAGCCCTCAGTTTATTGTGACAGGAGCTTGTAGGTGAGCAGAGAAAGGGTGGGTCTTTCAGGAGCTGGAGGTGGCACAGTTGTCCAAACGTGAGAACTGACTCATCCCAGTCAATATACAAAGTGGGTGGATAGACGTGTGTCCAAAAAGCAGGCCTCTCTCAAGACAGGATGGGAGAGTATAAACTTGGACAGAAAATTAGGAAAGTATGAAAATCTGAAAAACTTTCCTTTTTAAAATCTAGAACTTTTGTTCATTAAAAAGTGAGAAAAACAAAGCCAGGTGTGGTAGCTCACACCTTTAATCCCAGGGAAAGCAGAGGTAGGCGGATCTCTGTGAGTTAGAGCTAGCCTGGTCTACAGAGCGACTTCCAGGACAGCCAGGGCTCTGCAAAGAAACTCTGTCTTGAAAATCCACAAAAAAAATTTAAAAAATAAATAAATAAAGAGAAAGAGAGGAGAAAACAAGTGAAAAGTGTGACATTATATTTTCTATGGATTCATGACCAGAACATGTAGTCTAAGAGAAAAGAAGGCAAACAAAAGGGAGACCTCCATATGCCAAGTGTAAATGGCTAGTGAACATATGAAAACATGCTTGAGAAAAAGCCAGTGTGAGTAGGGGAGTTGGTTGTACAGCTCACAAAGGAGCTGGTGGGAACAGATGATGTTACAGCCACGTTGAGGGCCCTTTTTGGAATCTCAGTGCACCAGGAAGTGGGGAAGGCTGGGTCTCAGAACACCAGGAAGTGGGGAAGACTGGGACTCAGAACCAGAACCTCTTACATGGTAGAGAGGCTTCTTAATGCTAAGTAAAGCCACAAGCCCAGAAGCGTCTCACAGTCTTTGTTACCAAGCCTTTTTATTCTGTTATATGCCGTGAAGAAATTCCTGGGCCATGTGTACCGGGGTATATGTATAAAAGTATGCGTAGCTATATAATATAGTATAGACATATAGTGGAATAATATTCTAATTTTAAAAAGAAAGTAAATGACACAGGAACTTTGAAGACATTATTAAGTGAAATAAACCAACACAAAAGGACAAATACAGTATAACCCATTTATACGGTTCTTTATTCTCAGTGTTTCGTTTTATTCTTTGCTCTTCTCATTCATGTTCTTTGTAGGCTGTGTTTGTAAATAGAAGGTAATGAGCTAATTTTAAATGTTCCTTTCCAGTCTTTCTGCAGCAATTTTTGTTACAGAGCATCTAAATTTTTTGAAACACAAATTCCGAAAACTCCAGTGTGGGTTCGAGAGGAAGAGAGGTAATTGAATCTTCTTGTCTTGTTTGCGCCAGTGGTTGGGTCACCTTCCTGCTTTTGTCGCTGGCCGAGAGCAGGCTGAGTTCTCAGCAGAGGGTCACCGTTCACACAGCTTAGCTCTGGGAAGTGGCTGTATCTTAAGCATAGTTACTAAGGATTTTTATGGGAAACCTTACGTGCAAATGTTTTTCTCTAATGTTGTAATTTTAATCACAAAACTGGAGCTTGCATTCTAGTCCTTGCTTTGCCCAGGGTGAATCCTGCTCCTGTAACAATCCTGAATTAAAATAGTAACTTTTTTCAGCTTTTGGGAATCTGGCTGAACACACTTTACTGCTAAGATAACGGGCTTTGTTACAATGACTGCAGTACCCTGAGCTTTAAAAAAGCCAATATAAAAGGACTTTTTTGTTAAAAAGTTTGAAGGCTTTTGCTTCGGGAAATAATCAAGTGCTTGCAGTATTTTACTGATGCAGAATTTAAAGAAATTTATTAGTAAAAGCAACAGTTGTTACCATTATCCAACTAAACTGTATAGAAACTCCAGACAAAGACTTGGTGACATTAGTATCCTAGATGACGCATGTTTGAAGAGATGGCACAAGCCCTGTTGTTTGTGGCCAGACAGGGAAGAGAGATGCTAAGTTAATACAACGACTCAGATGTAAAGAGATGCAATGATGCAAGAGCTTTGCTTTAAGACAAACAGACGAAACCTTAAATTTTGTCCCTGAGAAAGATGGTAGGATACCGCTCTAAGTTCTGCTGGTTCCTTGGCATTCTGTCCCCGAGAAAGATGGTAGGATACCTCTCTAAGTTCTGCTGGTTCCTTGGCATTCTGTCCCTGAGAGAGATGGTAGGATACCTCTGTAAGTTCTGCTGGTTCCTTGGCAGCAGTGACAGACCCTTGGTGGCATGTTCCTCTGTAATCCCTTCCTCTGCAAAGCCTGCCTGCCACCCTGTGGCCTTAAACCGAACGTCATAAAGACAAAATCGGTCATTTCGTCACTAGCTGTAAGCTTTCTTGTTAGAGCATTTAAGGCACCATCGTCCAAGGTAAATGGACACCCACACTCTTCATCAGAACCACCACCGTCGATGGTTGATCCAACACCAGCAGCACTCCTCTCCCCCTGAATAACAACAGTTGGCTTAAGTTGTCTTTGCCTTTTATTTCCAAAGACATATTCTCTGCTTGTTAAATTCAGCCGTCTGTCATATCCTTATAACTACTTCAAAACCATTTACCAAGCCAGACATGACTGTACATGCCTGGAATCCCCAAATTCTGAGGAGGCAGGATGACCCAGAGCTAAGACCCTCCTTATCTACATAGTAAACCCCAGGCCAGCCTGGTCCACATGAGACACTGTGGGAGGGAGGGAGGGAGTTCACCAAACAAATTTTCCTACCAGCTGTTTTCCTCTGACTCAGTAACTCTTCGCTGGCCTTTTCCTCAATCTCATCCCTCTCTCTTCAGAATGTCTACTTTTCCTCATAACTTGAAGCCTTGATCTGTGTCACTTTTGGTTATTGAGCTTCATCTTATTTATATAATCTTTTTTAAATTTTAGTGTAGGAAAAAAGATGAAAATAGCCTTTTATTCCCCTAATCTAGACAAATGCCCCTAATTTCCAGAGTATGCACTGTGTACTTAGTGCCTGACTAGACACATACATGCACATGGCAAGGCACACAGATGCACATGCATATTTCATAAATCTCAGCCTTGAATTTAATGGTAATTAAGAGAATAAATACGTGAGTGAAATTATTTAATAACTTTGCTGAGGATGTATGATACAAATTTTGTGACATCACCTAATGACAAATTGTAAACAGAAGAGAAAAACTCAAGGGTGTAGTTTGGGGATTGGACATTGGCTGCTACAGGAACCCTCTCTTGGCCAGTGGTCCACTTTACATCCTTTCAGTTACCAGCATTAACTATAATCTAAAAATAGTAGATGGAAGATTCCAGAAATAATTCATAAATTCTGAATTATAAATCCTTCTGAATAGCACAGTAAAATCTCACACCATGTTCCTCCTTGCCCATGGCATGCATGGATTATCCTTTTTCCCTGTGTGGTCACACTGTGTAGAGTGTATGTCAGGCCATGATTTTAGGCCTCATGGGTTAGAGGGCACTGCTGTATGCCGTGGAAAAACAGATCACAATAGGAAGAAGAGCCAGGTAGAATCTGGTGCATTTTCAGGTGCTGGGGAGGGTCAGGTGTCTATAGTGTCAGGCCTCTGTGTCCTCACTTTTGGGGTTGAGCCTGGGGCCTTTCACATGCTAATCAAGAGTTTAACAAATATACCTAGTACACAAGGTCTTTTGAGCAGACCTTGATATGGTATTTGTCTATGAGATGAATTAAAAAAGAAAGATTCTCAAAAGCCTAAAAGATCTGTAGAGTCAATCCAGTTCCTTTGTTGAGCGTCCTTTCAAAGTGGAGCCTATCCCATGAGCTAATGATAGACCCTGTCTGAGGTCAGGCTTCTCCCTACTGTGCTCCGCTGACTGACAGGCATTAGTGACAGCTAGCTCTAACCATAAATCTTCCCGTTGCCCATTGTCTAACCAGAGCCCCCACTGTGTCTAACTCTTGTCTGTGGCACAGCCACATCCTAGTTTCTCACGCTAGAAGCTTCACTGTGAGTTTAATCTCTGAACTCTTGGGCCTGTGGCTGTGCTGTAGTTTAATGAATCCACTAGAGGTCACTGTTGTCACTGAGAATGGTTTTTCAATGTGTTGCATTTTAGAACAGCCATCTTCATTGTTTAATGCTGAGATTTTTATTTTAAATAATAAACCTAAATTTTACTATAGCAATTTAATGGTCAATTTAAAATACAAATTTTTAATCCATTCACGTAATTAATATCTATACAATTAATTATAAACTTTTTAACTAATATATCTTGCATTATAGTCTAATACATGCATTTGCCTTTAAGAACAGTCATTAAATGTCTCGTTATTTTCTACCACTTTTATGACATGCCGATGACCTGTGTGGTTTGTCACCCGCAGTTTGAAGAGCTCTGTTTTGTTCACTCTAGTTTGGGTTTTTAGTTGTTTTAGTACCACACAGCCGTATGTAAGCTCTAGACCACTGTTCCTCCCTTGTGGAAGCAGAAGTCTACATCTGTGTTCGCCCGTCCTGAGTCTTGAGCTGCCTTGTCACAGGCGCTGTCTGATAGGTGTTTAGGCGAACCAGCTTGCTGTTCTTTGTAAAGAGGAAGGCTGAGAGAAGACTGGGTCAAAGTTTAGATGAGAAGGAAAGCCAGAGGTGTTTTAGAACCTCAGAATGTGTCTGAGCCCTGGCATGTCAGGGAAACAGAATAATAAAGTTGACCCTATTTGGTCTCTCATGCATCACTGTGAATCCTAGGATGAATTTGTTATATAATTCCCTCACTTTGTACCTCAATAAGTTTACTACTTCCCTGATCAATGTATTAGAGTTAGGAAGTCATTAATTATAGTGAAAAATTATCTAAAATTAAAACTCATCCTGAGTGCTTCTCGGCGGCATGTCCCGGTAGTCTGCCCGAGACAGACCACGAGGTCTTGCGGTGTCCATCTGCGTGACGTCTGCAGTGTGACTGAGGAGTTGCTCACCCAGCTTGTGCTCAGAAACCAACCACATACAGTTCTGGTGCCGAAACAGTGTGCTTCTACACAGTCTGAGCTTGAATTTATGATCCCGTATGGTTTTTACAAGTAGAGTTTGGCAGAGCTTGGGGCAAGACTTTCTAGAATTATGAGTTAAAATCTAAAAAGGAAGGACAAGTGTTGAGCAGCTGATTTTGTCTTTAAATATCGCATCTGGGTGAATGGTTAATGCTGACAGAGCTAAACACATCATGTGGCCTAGAGCTGGGGATTTTTACATATCAGTTCTCAGCAATAATCATGCATAATCTGAGGGGAGGAAGCCAAAAACCTCTGCAGAGCAACTTTTATAACCTCTTCCTGAGCAGCCACCTCTGCTCAGAGATCAGATGAACTCCTTCTGAAAAGATTTCACTGTGTCTGAGGAGCTTTGAGGCCCCCACAGGGAGGACTGTTGGCAACCAGCTGTAATATAATAGATACTTTTCAAGTGATGCACACACATACACACACACACATGTATGTATGTGTATGTGTGTGTATATATATACATACATACATATCTGTATGTGGGGAGGGGCAAACGGCCTTTTCACAGGGATCACATATCCTTCATACCAGATATTTACATTATGACTTATAACAGTGAAAAATTACAGTTATCAAGTAGCAGTGAACATAATTTTATGGTGGGGGTCACCAACGTGAGGAACGGCACTGAAGGTCACAGCATTAGGAAGGCTGAGAACCACTGCTCTTGAGCCAGGTGCAGTGGCATACCTGTGAGCCCAGCATTTCTAAGGTTTCAGCAGAGGGATCAGGAATTGAAGGTCATTCTCCACTACCTGTGAGTTTGAGACTAAATCATGTCTCGAAAAGCCAAAATATGAAAATAATTATATTAGTCACCTAGCTTGACTTTAGTGAAAATAGGATAAATTATTTATAAAATCTTTATTCTCTCATACATTACATCCCAACTGTAGTTCAACACCTCCCCACCTCCTCTCTCCTCCAGATCCACTCCTCCTTCATTTTCCTTAAAAAAAAAACAAAAAGAGCAGCCTCCCAGAGATGTCAACCAAACACAGCATAAACCTTAAGTCTAGATACAAGCCCTCATGTCAAGGCTGGACAAGGCAGCCCAGTAGGGGGAAAAGGGTCCCAAGAGCAGGCAAAAGAGTCAGAGACATCCCCCACTCCCACTCTTAAGGAGCCCCACAAAATACCAAGCTCAGACACATATAGGGCCTGCAATAGTCACTTCAGCCCCTGTGATCCCCTAGGAACCCTGCTTAGTTGACTCTGTAGGCTGTGTTCTCAACTCCTCTGGCTCCCACCGTCTTTCCTCCCTGTCTTGTGCAGGGTTTGCCTGG